GCCACCAGAGGCTCATGTTGGAGGCAAGGCCCTTCTGGTTCTGACAACCTCAACTGAGGGAACCGCAATCACAGTTTTACATCCACCAGGCAGCAGGTGCTAGGCTCACTACTGCTTCTTTTTGAGCCTTGCTTTAGGTCCTCGTCTGCTTCTGGCAACCCTTACGAGCGCGTAGATGGTAAGGTATTGCAGGCTGTTCCTCTACGTCTTCTTCCGGAGTCAAAATTAACTCTGCGTGGTCCTGACGTGGTGGTTGGTTTGCTGGAGGTGGTGCCTTCTTACACTGCAAAACATGTATCCACGCTGTAATGCTAGACAGTTTAAAAGCCATCTGGATAGTAAGCAGTACCTGATAATTCTTTAAGTCTCTTTACTTCTTTTTCTTTGACTCTGGCTATAACAATGGCCTTCACACCTTATCTTTTTCTGATGCATACATTCCTCATTCACACAAACAGATTGAGAATACAAACAGTAGTATTTTATATCACGCAAAAAGGCACTGCAAATTAAAATCTTGCTAAGTTTTACAATCAATAACCAAGACAATTTACATTGAGACCCAGGCCTTTAATGTTCCTCTAATCTACTTAACATAGACACAATAGAGAATCCTGTCTCTTACTTACTAAACCTTAAACAAAGAAATGTATATTTAACTAGAGTGCCTACTTTGTAGTACATATAGGAAACCATAGTAGACATTATAACTCCTTCTAAAACAAAAGGGTGACCATAATCAGTCATAAGGATTGTTCTGGTCGGTCATTCCTTTCTGCTATTCAAAAAGGGTGGCTGACAGGATGAAATCAAATCATACATTAATTCTTATCCTGCTCCTACATATCCCACTTTTGACGCTAAGATTATTAATCGCCAGTGTCACTTCTTATTTAGTCCACGTAATAGAAAATACTGGGAGGTGATTTGGGCCTGTGGCTCTAGCTTTGCATACATTTGTTTTATCCAACAGCACATTTCAAACATTAAATTTGATTAAATTAAACACACACAATTTTAAACCAAAAACAATTAAGGTTAGTAACATTAGTATGCCAGTAGTTGTGGAAGACCATTCAGAAAATATGTTATACCAATGGTAAGCTGTTATGTCTTTCTGCAATGGCAATTCTTAACATGTTCCCATTTGCGTGTATAATATGAATGGGTTGGTTTCCCACATTGCCCTTTTGTTTGTTTTAGGAACTATGTTACCTTTTTACCTTTTGTAAACACATTACATTACATTACATTACATTAACATTTGTCTATTGGAAGGTTGCTAACACTCCCATTCTTTTAAAACACTTTCCCCCCCCAAGAATTAACACATACACAT